CGATTACCAACACGGCTACAATGTGTGAAGCCCATTTCTGGTGTCCCCCCCCAACCACCACCGTGATATGGCTGGAATATTGCTAAAGGCGGAGTAAAATGACAATGACAATACTTTATTACCCGTGAGGGAATTCTTGTGCAAAGTACAGAGCTCAAACATTGATAAAAAAATTCAATTATTTTCATACAATAAATAACACACATATAGCACGCTAACAAGGTAAGACAAACACTAGGAATCATTTAAAAGCTTAATACTGGCAGGAACAAAGGATTTCATGGTTGAAGATAATTATGTTCACACCATGATCAGTCACTTATATCATCTCTATAATGCTGTTCATCATTGATGCCACGTTTCCGCTCCTGACTGAAATCGTGTGAATCGAAGCGCGCGTAAAGTGTATTTAATTGTTCAGCATAGTGCCTGTCATCAGTGACATTGAGGCGAGAATGTTTCTTTTCATTCCTTATCATAGTCCGCACACCTTGCCAGGCTTGTCGGGTGTTGTGGTTCCGAAATTGGGCCTCAACTGTGCTTTTAAAGTCATCTTTACACTTCTTTACTACTAGATTAATTTCTTTCTCAATAACTTTCAGCTTCACGGTGTCTTTTGTACAGAATGCCCTCTGTTTCTCATTTAAAAGCAATTTCAATTCTTTCGTAACCCACGGTTTGTTATTTGGATAGATTTTTAATTCTTTGGTTGTAATATTGGAATCCACACAGAATTTAATATACGATGTGATGCTGTCAGTCAACTCGCAGGGGTCACTGGTGTTGTTAATGAATACATCCCAATCTGTACAATGGAAACATCCCTGAAGACGGTCAAGAGAATCGCTGTCCCACGATTTCACGATTTTGGTTTGAACTGGATCAGTTTTTAGCTTCTGTTTGTAAAATGGGATGAGGTAAACAGAGTTGTGATCAGACAGTCCAACTGGTGGTTGGCAACTGCCTTGTACGTTTGTTTAATGTTTCAATACCAGAGGTCGATTGTTCTGTCATTCCGTGTCCAACATTTTACATACTGCTGATAATGCGGTAAGGATTATTCCATGCGTGTTCCGTTGAAGTCTCCCAGGATTATTTTTGGACCATGAGGACTGATGGATGCTAATTTCTGCACCTGGTTCTGAATCACAGATTCCGCTTCCTTGCTGTTTGCAGGAACCCAACTCACTCACTCATCTGAATAGCTATGGTAGTCGTGTGAGGGTCCACAAGGGATGATTGTTTGGAGATTTTACGTGAGGCTTTTGGAGATTTTACGTGCGCTCTCCAACATGACGCATATTTTGTACACCAGGTCCACAAGCGTCCAGAAAAACATTTTATAGACGCTTGCGTTACTCAATCTCGCCTGGTGTGCAGATGCAGGGACATGAGGTTACGGTGACGGAGTATATAGAACCCTATCTCTCTGGTAAAAATAACAAGCACTAACCTCGTGCTAGTTGATCATGAATCACAATCAAGGCAAATCTGATGTATTCTTTCTGAATTTTGTGAAACGATTTATTTTTTCTGTATGGTTTTTGCTCCCATTACATGATGCTCCATCATATATTTTCAGTTTTCCCATACATCATTGCTGGTGGGTATGGATAATTCTGGATCGGTGAAGATCCAGGTTAGACTGACTGACTGAGTTTAGTTTTACGCCGCTTTTAGCAATATTCCAGCAATATCACGGCGGGGGACACCAGAAATGGGCTTAACACATTGTGCCCATGTGGGGAATCGAACCCGGGCCTTCGGCGTGACGAGCCAACGCTTTAACCACTAGGCTACCCCACCGCCAAGATCCAGGTTAGAATTGAATTACTAAAACCCATAGTTGTCGTATGTGGTGACCAATGGGATCGGATGGTCAGACTAGTTTACTTGGTTGACTTGCCTGTGTATGCCATGTTGCAGAGATGAATGAACATGATGTCAAACACGGGATGTCTGGTCCACACTCAAGTATAACCAGACCTGTGGAAGCACATTAATGCCAGTCTAAAAGACTTTAACATCTTGGTGTGTTTGTTTGTTGTTTAACGCTGAACTCAGCAATGTTCCACCTACATGGCGGCTGTCTGTAAATAATCGACCCTGGATCAGACAATCCAGTGTATGAGCATCAATCTACGCAATTTGGATACAATGACATGTGTCAACCAAGTCAGCGAACCTGACCACCCAATCCCTAGTCGCCTATTATGACAAGCATAGGTTACTGAAGACCAATTCTAACCTAGATAATAATGGGTATTAACATCTACATCTCTGAAAGTGATATTGTGTTCTGAAGTTTAAGTTATGAACAGAGCTGGAAATAGTTTAAACAAACGTTGGATATAGTTTATACAAATATGTATAGAGTCTTGTTAAATGAACTGTCTTATTTAAGCTGGTGGGTTTTTTTTTGCATTCTAACGCTGAGACTGACTGAGTTTGGTTTTACGCTGCTTTTAGCAATATTCCAGCAACATCACGGCGGGGAACACCAGAAATGGGCTTCACACATTGTGCCCATGTGGGGATTCGAACCCAGGTCTTCGGCATGACGAGCCAACACTTTAACCATTAGGCTACCCCACCGCCCCTCTAACGCTGAGATGTTTAAAGGGTTGAGTTGTCAAAATATAGAAAAAGACAACTGATACTAAACCCAAAACATGCGGGCCAAACATTTAAATATATAGGAGTGTATCGTTTAAAGATCCACATTCGTATCAAGAGTTAGTTAACTGAACATGTTGAATATTCCGATGGTATGCCAATAAAGACACGTCATGTTTGAAAGTCAGTAATTATTAAGCCAGAAGTTACGTAAAACTGACACTTAACTATTGTTGATTACTCGAGAAAATATGGCTACCAAGTTGATACATGTAATTCAATACTAGATTATACTTTCTAAGTAGATTGTTAATATCATATATGTAAGTTTAAGTATCATCCACATAGATGTAAGTATCCTCTGTTGAGATGAAAGTATCTTCCACTTAAATGACAGTATCGTCTACTAGATGAAATATGGAATTGACTGACCAAATGTAAAACTCTGTGGAATGTAAAAAAAGCTGAATTCTCAACCTTTTGTTGAGTCATCAGTACAGTGTCAGGTGTCTTGCTGTTTTAGCCCCTTACTGACTACAGCAATAATTACTGTAATATTGACGATGACTTCTCTTTGACCAAACTTGAAACAAAATTTTACTTTATACTCTTATTCTATTCAAGGATCTCGACTAAGCATTGCTGATTACACTGATAATTTGAAACCATACAACTTCCGTCCAAACACTCAGAAAGTGAAAAAAATAAATGTAAACAAGAAAAAATTGTGTCCAAAGACACGGATGCTCCCGCTGCTGTAGGAAGAGTTCCCTACACTGAGTGTGCTCTGGTGATTAATTTCTACTAAATACATACCATGGTTGATTATAAAATAAATATATCCAAAGTGTCCAAGGTAAATACTTATTGTAAATGTATGTCACAATGAGTGACTGAGTGAGTTTGGTTTTACGCCGCTTTTAGCAATATTCCAGCAATATCACGGCGGGGGACACCAGAAATGAGCTTCACACATTGTACCAATGTGGGGAATCGAACCCGGGTCTTCGGCATGACGTATGTCACAATGAACTTACCACAGTACAATTAAGCCTATATCATGAAGGTTCATGGTACAAGGGTAAATAAACTAGCAATAGCAATATCACTGTGGAGGCAAGTGAAAGCAATAGATTGCTGTAGAAGCTAAAGTGGTAAGTCCTTAATTTCAGACAAAGTCTCGAAAATTGTATACATGAATGGAACCATAAATAAATTATCACACATTCAGGGTCCCACTTAAGTACTTGAAAACACTAAAACAATGTGTTGAGGGGTTAGATAACACAACCTATTATCATATAAAGATCAATAATTGTACAAAATTCACGAACAAGTTCAATCTATGCAACTATGAGATGCACACCTTTCGAGTCCCAATGAAACACATGTATAAGCTTAATCAATATAAGCTTGAGCAGTTTTTGTGGAGAAGAGGATAGACTTAATCCCCTGTCATCAGAGAGAAATTCAACAAAATTTATCTAAGTTCAAATGTCTCTAAACATACAAAAAACTATAAAATACAAAAACAAAATATGAGATGCACACCTTTAGAGTCTATAAAACACATATGTAAGCTAAATGAGTTTTGTGCAGTGGTTTTTGAGGAGAAGTGGATAAAGTACACCCCCTGTTGGATGGAATGAACAGGCTGAATAGAACAAACTTGAGCTAAGTTCAAACATCTGTAAAAGTGACAAAATTAAGAAATTGCATAAAAAATTATGAAATGCACACCTTTAGAGTCCCTACGAAAGACATGTAGAAGTTCATTCAATTCCGTTGAGCAGTTTTTGTGGAGAAGTGGATAGACTTCATCCCCTATTACACTATCATCATAGAGAAATTCAGCAAAATGTACATAAGATCAAATGTCTCTAAACTTACAAAAAAACAATAAAATACAAAAACAAAATATGAGATGCACACCATTAGAGTCCCAAGAAAGCCCATGTATAAGTTCATTGAAGTCCACAGAGAATTTTTTGTGGAGAAGTGGATAGAGTACATTCCCTGTTTCGTACGGATGTACGGACGGACACGGAGGGTAACCCTATATGCCCCCAGCCATATATGGCGGGGGCATAAAAAAATAATAACATCATATCAATCAGTCACATTTCAAAATGAGGTTATTAGGGAATCATTTAACTTCAATATACAATATACCAAAGATATGTTATGATATATTTTATACATGACATTTTATGATGGACAGACAGATGTGCTGTCCCGTGATGCAGGATAGAAATATTAGTAAACACAAACTGCACTCACGATCAAACAGATCATGCTTATACATCATGATGCATATAGACATAAAGTTTGGGACCAGTGGACAAATGCTCCCATCAGTTAAATGAAAGTGTCAACTACTAAGAAAGTGTTGAACTATTTTTATTAGCAAACCCTTTTCTTAAGACAACTAAAACAATTGTTCAGATCCATCCAGAAACATTTCTGTTATAATGCACAACTATGAACAATATCATGGAGAACACAGATCTGAATATTCAAGACACAATCTTTAACCTGGGTACAGCATTAATATATTTTAGACAATATCCATATGTTTTCTGCACTCTCGGCCACATCATACCTACACACGTTAGCACTAGGCTTGCTTGTCCGGATGGTCAAGAAGTTGTGATCTTATTCCAATTTTTTGTAATTCCTCAATTAGTTCTCCATTTTTGTGCATGTCCAGTAGAATATCACAGCCTCCAATAAACTCTCCATTCAAATACACCTGGGGAATAGTTGGCCAGTTACTGAAATCCTTCACACCTGAAAGTGAAACATCAACAATTTGTTAAGTTGTGTTATCATAAACACTACAGGCAAATATGACAAGAAGTTAGTTATTGAAAAATACACATCACATGATTAACGTTTTGTTTGTTTGTTGTTTAACAGCAATATGGTGGTATTTATTCAAGAACTACATCATGTACATGACAGATATATAAAGAAAATGTACATGTTGCGAACATGGTCAACACAACCCCAAAGTCAAGGTATAAGGTGGATAAAAATGTAACAGTATTTTATCATCAACTATTGCTGCTGAGGAGGATAATGTGATAATGCATTCCTGCTTGACAACGGTACAAGAATTCCTATCGAAATGTCACCAAATAAACATGATAAAAGAAGTTGTTATCCATACAGTCTGTCAATATTGTACTTCCCAACTTAAAAAATGTGGTAAGAGTTCCGCCCGCAACCCACGCTTAAAATGTATTCTATTTATTATGATTATTTTTAGTGGTTAGTGTTTAGGTTAAGCGATCAGATTTAGCATTATGTTAGGTATAAACGTATTTTATTCATGAAATATTTACATGACAACGGCTTATGTAAGGTTTGTTAGGTATGTGAGGTTTAGGGTTAGATTTAGGGTTAGGGTAGGCTTTCTGGAAAAAAACATCTATTCTTAGGCATAGTATGATAAAAAAAACCCCGGGAATTACGGGCGGAAATCTTTCCAAAAATGCCACTCAAAGAAGTGATTTTACATTAAAAACTGATGCAATGATAGCTGATTAAAGAATATTTTCCTTGCTTAGCCATTATAATATATGTGTTTACCACTGCCATTTTATCAAATTCTGAAGTTTTACCTTGTCTGAGATCTTCGTCAGCGAGTACATTGTGTGCGTCGTAATTATCAACGCCGTGGAAATTCAGGATTTGTACGACAGCATTGCTAAATCCGCATCTTGGAGCATCAGGTGTGCCCTTCATGAACACCACCACTTTGTTGTTTTGCACCAGTTTTTCAAGATTCTCCTTACTGCCGGCATCTGATGCGTATCTAGCTGCTGCCAAGCGGCAAAATGTATTGTGAGCTCTTGACAAGACTGACTTGGACAGCAATCGATTCATCCTTAGCTGTCTGTAACACGCAAATGATGTAAATAAATCAAGGGTGAAAACGTGAGCCTAACAACAACTTCCGGGAAGTGTGAACAACGAAAAAGAGTTTTAATGTAGGGAATTTAAAGCGTGTATTTTATATCGTCACTGCATACAATATTATCTACATGTGAAATGAATAAACTTCGTATGAGCCGGGTACAAAAATATCACGACATATTACAAATACATATTAAATATATTACTACGCGTATTTTAACACGCATGTCAGAAATGTGCACTTCCGTTAAATCGCTTCCGCTTTTGTGGCAGTCACGGTCGAGGGCCGAACTAAAGTTGTGTGGCATGAATTAATTCGATCTTAAAAAAATTAGGATGTCTTCAGTAGCTGACATGGTCGAACAGCTGAAGACAGCTATCGACTCCAACCGGACTGACGTTATCTGCACGGTCATATCAACGTGGAAAAAAAGTAAAAGTTTGGCTAACTTTTCTGTCATTCGCCGGCTTGTCAATAATCATTATGCTTACTGGTGTTAGTGACACATCAATGCGTCTTCATACTTTTAACTTTTAATATATAACTACGAAGATCTAAATTTGATAAAGACATTGGAGTGCCGTCTTGAAAGCTAAATGCTAATGATTATTTGCTGTGACAAACTGTTGCCATACAGATAGCTTACGTGAAGGATCAGAGCTGTTGACGGTAGAATTAACATTAGTGGTGAATTATTTCACAGAAGCGAAAACTTTCGAATGCATAAACAACTGCAATCCTGCCTTTTGCCACTAGCTACAATGAACCATGTAACAATATCAACATACACATAAACTTAGAGTAGCCATTAAAAAAATGTTGAGCACTCTTTCTATGGGCTTTAACATCCACGTTCATGGTCCTGTAAAAACAAACTTACTGCCCACTCCATTTTCCAGTGGGATTATGAAAATGGTGTTTTCATGAACAGGTAATTTCAAGACACAATGTCACAATTTTCGACAATATTTTGGCCTATATTATATATATTGGGGCATATGCACTTCACTTTAGCTTCCTATTGATGCAACAACTTACGACTTGCCTGAAAACGATATTTGAATTTTCGAGGCAGACAGCTACCAAACAGGGAACACTTGCCATATATGTAATTTGTAAACAGTTGCTCCGTACATAGAAAACTGTCGCACACAGTGTTATCAGTGTTTGCCAAACTGGTTTCAATCGCAAGTTGTGCATAGGATATTCATAAAGAGACATAACTATGGGGTTCGTTTGAAATAATGTTCGGCAGGTTTATTAAAATTGCATTAATTCGTTGAACATTTTAATTTAATATTGTATGCTAAATCTGTGTTTCTTTTGTGAATAAATTATATGGTAGCTTCCCTGAGGGCTGATAGTATTATTGAGAGAAATACATGATATATTTTTAGAGAAGTGTGGTGTGATATAGTGCCTTTAATGACAATTTGGAATTATGTTTTTGCATTTGCTGCAGACTTCTGTCTGAAATAAGGCCTCCAAGCAAGTCCAGTAAAATCCCTGTAAGTTCATGTTATATGTATTTATAGGCCCATCTGATGAAGACTTACTGCAGCATGTACTCAATGAGCCTCAACTGGAGAGTGGGACCTTACTTCACTATGCTACCAAGGTAAACCACCATGGGAATTTTGTAATCCTTTGTCTAAACGGTTTCTAGCCAACAGCAGTTTAAATGATATTGAGTAATCAACAAATACATGACAGTAATATATTTCAGAATTAATCTTCAATGGATGCCTGAATTAACACTGATTTCAAGTGATAAAATTTAGATGCAAACCAAGCAGTGGTTTTGCTTGTCTCCATTCATAAGCTGTTAACTTCTGCAGAACAGCATGTCAGAAGTTGGGCTGCTGGATATATCCAGTGTTTGTAGTAGAACATGTGACAAGTCATCATATGTATGAGGGGGAAGAGCTATGGTAACCCTAAAGGAACAAAGTTTTACTATGGTTAAGTGATTGAATAGATTGGCATTAACAAATGCACAGACTTTCTATTTGAGAATAACCTCAGAAACCAAAGTACCAAACTGAAACTAAAGATGTCTTTAATCAAGGTTTGACTTAGATGTTCATGGAATGGGACTGGGAGGTGGTGTTTAATTGAAAAAAAACTATTCTTCATTTGAAGAAAATATGTAGGCATGTTCTTCTCTGACACTGAAACATTCATACTAAGTAAAACAGAGCTGATAATTTGGTAGGATGTAGCCTAACTGCTTGTACAGAAGGGTACTGCAGGGATTGGGAAAGAGAACTTTGACAATGGGCCATTTTCAGGATTATTAGCCATTTTTTGAATTTAGAATGGGCCACTGCCCTTGTATCAATAGTAAACTTCAAAATTTAAGGGGCCATTTTTTTTTCAAATGTGCAAAATGGCCCATGGCCCCTGTTTTTTCCCAATCCTTGGTACTAAATGTCACGTAGAGGAACGTCTTGTCAGGTACCAGCTTCTTGTTTGCAATATATACTGTTACTTACTGCAATGCAGAGGCTGTGTACTCCAATAATTTGCGCAGTAGTTTTAATTTACAATTCTCATTCCTACCTATTGGTTGTTTTCAGTGCTCAAAAGTCTTATATTCCATCTCTTTGTCTAATGTATGTTTAGCTAGTGTAGCAGGGCTAGGAGTCATCCAATATGTGACATCCTTACCTTGTCAGCTTGCTGACATGGGTTAACCTCTTTGGTCATGTGGACAAGGCGGCAGACTTCAGATCAGAAGGTCCGTGGTTCGAATCCCAGCACAGGGCTCAGAAATTGAGCTACATCAGCAACATTTGATATGTTCGGTTGAGATGATTGGCACTTGGTTGATGTTCCCCAGGCTAACAAAGCTGACATAGTCCGTGCCCTGCTGTCAAATGGCGCCGATCCCGGTATACAGAACAGTGAAGGCAAACTACCACTGGACCTCGCTAATGACCAGATAAAGTTGGTGTACAATGAAGAGTTACTGCAGTCAACAGCTCAGTCAAAGTAAGTCTCGTAAAACCACAGCACACTAGGGATTTACATTTTCAAAAAGTGATTTTACAGATGTGACTCATAAGACGATCTTAAATACAGGTATACCGGTAATACTGTAAACGTACTTATTTTCGCGTGGTGCAATTTTCGCGGAATTGACAGTTTAGACTACATCGCACGGTCAATTATTCGCGCAATCAGTAATTGCTGGAACTGCCAGCTGTCTCTTTGGCCGCCACTAATAGCAGTGAAAACAAACAGAGTGGCTTAACCTGTCAGGCGGCGTTTATTGCTTACTCACAGGAAATCCCTATCTGTGCGATATACTAGTACACAGTAATCCGTTTACTCACGGAAGAGATGAAAAACACATCAGTCTTATGTTCCGAATTCTGACGATCTGACGAATTAACTTCTAAAAATAAAATAAAACCTGCGCGAAACATAATACGTTTACAGTAGTTGTGATTGTCTTAGTGCTAAGATTGCTATGTGCAATGGACCACAGGCCTCTGTACCTACAAATGTTTGGAGTCCCTGGCATTAAAGAGGTCTCATAGTGACTGTACCAACAGCAAAACAAGTATAATGTCTGTGTGTTACCGTTTGGTAAAGTCTGAAGGGGAAACACCCAAAGTCCTTCAGTAAAGTGAACATTAATAATGCAAAATAGATAGTTAGATTGTATTATATTAGAACAGATATATATTTCACAGATATATGCCCAAGTCACATGTTTCAATGAAAGTAGTTGACATCATTTTCATCCAATGGGACTTGCAGTAGACACTGTTTACATCCATTCTTAATTTTGGGTGGTATAGGAGTTTTTAGCATACAATGTTTAATGATGCTCACTTAATATTATTTCTTCAAAAATGAAGCTTTCTCTGTTTGCCTCAACAAATCTAATTCCATATATTTGTCTCCAAAGTAAATTAGTGCAAAGTTTCTTTACTGTTATTAAATTACATTTGTGATGTCATTCCATTGTTGCTCGCTCCATTACTTTTCAGAAATGGAGCGATGTGTACCAGTTTTAAATTAAAGCCTTCATTTTGTCGTTTTCACATTTAATTTTGATAATAGAAATATTCCCAATACTTTGAATGTAATTTAAGTAGGGTAATATCCTCATAACTCTCCATTCCTTAAAAATAATGTGCCCCGGCCCCTCCAGGGCCTCGGCTCCATTATTTTTAAGGAATGGAGAGTTACTCGGACATTACCCTCTACAGAATGTTTAGCACTACTTCATGTCTTTTAAAGTTTGTATGAGTAACCAAGGGTACAAACTGATCTAGGATGGAATTTTGACCACAAAATGTGCCAGGGTGTAGTCTTAAACATCTGAGAGAGAGGTCGATTCTGCACATGAGGAGTGTTAGAATAATGTCACTGGTCATATGTTGCTGAAATATTTCTTTAATGTGGCCGAAGTATTTCTTATATGTTGCTCATATTTCTTAAGCTTAAAACATATTGTTGATGAAACTTAACTCCCCCACTAACCATGCTAACTGAGTTTGAGTTATGAGCAGATTTTCTGATGTATCGTTTTAGCCTGGGGAGAGTATGCCAACTTTTGGCTGGAGGAGTGGACGTGAACTTGAATGACACAGCTACCACGCAGAACACGCCGCTGCACTGGGCCGTCACATACAGCACCGTCGACATGGTGCAGTGTCTTTCAAGTGAGAAACAAAGGCTTTTGTCAAATACTTTTTAAGTCAAGCTGAGCAGTTTGACATTTCTTTGTAATTTTGTGTGTTGAATTGAAGCTTTCCTACACACCTTTGCACACTAGGTAGGAGGAGTTGGTTGTCTTCTAATGAATTTCGTTTTCTTACAGCCCGTGGAGCTAACCCCAATTCTGTAAATGCAGAAGGCCGCTCCCCACTCCATGAAGCAGTGAGGAGAGGAGACATATCCATCATATCTGTGCTTCTCAGCTATGGGGCTGACCCATCCCTCACAGTGAAAAAAGGGTAAGCTGTAGGTTACATACAACATTGACAGGCAGTTATATTTATCATTCTTTTTCATGAGAGATCCTCCTTGGGGTACATATAAGCATTAAAATGTCCATTTTTAATCCCTATGACACTTGTAGCTATATTTTGAATAAAATATTTACAAAACAAAAAACAATGTTTTTGTCTTGTTCGACCACCCCTACGTAACCCAGAATGGACCCGTCCGCCAAGAACAGGTAACTCTAGGTGCTAACCTCGTACCTCACTTTCCATGGTGTCGTTCGTCTGTATCGGTATGCTGCCACCATTCCCTGCCAACGCCCCAGCTCTGAAGTCGGCCTATCGCTCTCTATATAGAGCAGTATAGGACGGCAGCTCAGCAGTTACGGGTGGCAGTCTACTCAGCATACCTATCTGCATTGCAGGGGGAACTGGTAGATCAGGGAGCATGTGGGGATGACGCGTCATCCCCCTCGTTGGCGAAGCAGTTGACAGACGTCCATTCACATCTTGCATGTGACAGTATCCGCTGTTGTGCTAGCATGATGATAGGCACTGTCGTGGGCCTGCGCCATTTGTGGCTGTCGGTTGCGCGCTATTCGCCAGCCAGTCGGCAGGCGCTACTTTCTCTGCCTTACACTACGGGTTCCACCCTTTTCCCTGGGGCATTGAAAGTAGTGCGCGAGGCTGCCGAGGCGTTAAGCACTTTTAAGGACTCTAAGCCCTTACTAGAGCAACCCCTCACACTGCGTCGGAGAAGGAGCCTGCAAAGTGGACTGGTCCACTGCAGGTTAAGAAGAGCAGGAGGCAAGGGAAAGGCTGCAGCTGCGCAGTAGTCTTTTCGGGGAAAGGGGAAGCCAGCCCCAGCTTCCCGTTAAATCTCCCTCGGACGCCCTTGTTGCCTCCCAACACACGCAAGAGGAGACTTGCCGACTGTGGGAGTGCACTGCCTCATGCCACACGTCCCTGTAGGCGGCCGGCTTACACTCTTCCTCCCGGAATGTGTGAAAGTCCTGTCCACACTCAGGGATGGCCATATGCCACAGTGGAAGTGAGGTCCGCCACCATTCACCGGGGTGCGGCACACTCCTGTGCCCATCTCCCGGGAAAAAGCGGACATTCTCCGTGCCGAGGTCCAGTCTCTTCTGGACAAGGCAGCCATCGAGGTGGTTCCGGAAGGTCACGACAACGAGGGATTTTACTCCACGTATTTCATAGTGACCAAGAAGGACGGGGGGTTCAGAGCCATACTCAATCTAAAAGGGCTGAACAAAATGATAGAAGTGACGTCTTTCAGGATGGAGACACTGCGCTCAGTGATTACCTCCATCGAGACAGGGGATTGGCTCGCGTCAATCGATCTCAAAGATGCTTACCTACATGTACCAATGCACCCCAACTTCAAGAAGTACCTTTGTTTCTCCTTCGACGGGAAGTGCTACCAGTTTTGTGTGCTCCCCTTCGGCATCTCCATGGTGCCAAGGGTGTTCGCCAAACTCATGTTAATCCTAGCTCAGTTAGCCAGGTCAGAGGGCAGGTTTTGTCACCCGTACCTCGACGACTGGCTGCTCCGGGCGTTAGGCAAGCAGTTGAGCAGGAATACCACACATCACGTGATGGATATTCTCATACGGCTGGGATGGATCATGAATCTCAAGAAATCAGAACTCGTTCCAACACAGGATCTGGTTTGTTTGGGAGCGAGATTCAATACAGAGACGGGGATTGTTTCCCTGTCTCAGGACCGCAGTGCCAAAGTTCAGAGAACTGTTTTACAGTTTCTTGGGACTCCCACGGCTTCAGCTCGGGCGTGGCTCCAGTTGCTAGGCAACATAGCGTGACTGTGGATGTGGTGTGGCGTGCACGTCTGAGGATGAGACCTACAGCAGGCAGTGGTTCAGCTGTGGTCCAATTCAGAGAGCTAAGAGAAGGTTCTCGTGAGGCCCGACTGGTTAACCCCTCACTTGCGGTGGTGGACGGTAATTCTCAGGTTTCTGGCTCAGCCTCCTGTACTATTACCCTTTCAACCGGACCTTCTATCCCAGAACGGAGCACCACACCTGAATCCCTGGATTCAGTGGGTGGCATGGCCACTGTCCGGAATCGCCTCCATGCGAGCAGAATTCCTGCATCAGTTGCAAACACAATTTTGGCTTCACGGAGGGATTCGACAAACGTGCAATATGAGGATAAATGGGCCTGCTATATGGCTGGTGTGTCGGCAGGGGGATTCTTGATCCCTTTTCTGCAGATCTAGTCACGGTGCTTGAGTTCCTCCAGTCTCGGTTGGAAGCAGGGCTAGCCGCTTCAACTGTTCCAGGTTACTCAACGGCTATTTCAGCGTTTCATATAACTGTCGACGCTGCACTCTTGGAGCAGCACCCTCTTGTACAGCGTTTTTTAGCAGGTTTGGACAGAATCCGTCCGGCTGGTCGGCGGATCAGTCCCCTGTTGGACTTGTCAATCGTTCTCTCTTTTACGATCGGTCGGCTCTTTCCCTCCTGCTGTTGACGTGGATGGCAGCTTTTCTTGTGGCGGTAACCTCCGGCAGGCGAGTAGGCGACATTCATGCAATGTCGGCCGACCCCCAGCTAACTGTTTTCCATAAAGACAGAGTTAGCATTAGGTTGCCGGATACTTACTGTCCTAAGAGAGACAGCGCCTTTCATGTCACGACGCCTATTGAGTTTCCAGCCTTCCCTCAGCCGTCCCCACCGGGTACCTCTCTTCGGCATGCTCTCGTCTTAGATGTGTGTAGGACCCTCAAGGCTTATAACAAGCAGACATTGGCTATCCAGAGAGATAACCAATTGTTTTGCTGTTACGGTGGAGGTAAGGCTGGTATTCTGGCGAACAAGCAGACCATATCTAGGTGGCTTGTCTCTACCTTTTGTACAAGCTATACACAGAAAGGGTTAACACCAGCTACTGGCTTAAAACTCATTCGGTTAGAGCAGTAGCCACATCTAAGGCTTATGCTGTGGCTCTGCCTATTGAGGAGATCTGCTCTGTGGCTATCTGGAGTCGGCCGAGTACGTTCATCCGGCATTATCAACTTGACAGACACTCCAGTGAGCGTGCTCGGTTCAGTCAGTCAGTTCTCTCCAGTGGGCAGAGTCGTAACAGGTCGTGGCAGGTTTGCGGTCAACTTTCCTTCCCTTTTTACCCTTACTTGGTGTTGGTTTTTTTATGGTGATGGTTTGTTCCCCCCATATATCATTCTTTTTCAGAGAGATCGTCCTTGGGGTACATATTATGCATTTTCCGGCTGAAAAATGTCCTGTGACAGTTGTATCAATGTTTTTTGAATAAAAAGATTGAACAATAAATAAACTCTTTTATTTATTATACCGCCCCTACCTCACGGAGTTACCTCCCTTAGCGCATGCGCACCAACTGGGTAGGCTCCTAGACCCGTATCATCATTCCTTCTGCTGTCACTGCCATGAACAGACGTATGTTGAATACTTCATGAGCCGGACGCAGCTGAACTTTCTGACGAACCAGAAATTGAATATGTCTCAGACACCACCTGTATGTATGGTCTTTATTTGCTCATGAAAGGAACAGTAAAGCTTTACAGTTGGTTGTTTCATAATTGTGACTTTGTATTAATTCTAATACGCGAACTTTCCCGTGGTTTACGCATGTGTTGCTCTGCCATGGCGGGAAGTTTAGCGTGCCATGTGGTCGTAATATTGCGTATTGAACCAACTATTACTTTCCGTGGTAGCCTTCACGTATTTTTCAATGTTTTCTACGTGTATATATGCTGCTGTCCGCCGTTAGCTACATGCTTGCGTGTTTGCTTTCAGGCCTTTTCATCCTGTTCGGTCTGTGGACAGAGTATTCCACGGGCCGACGGGCATGACATGTGCGTCGCCTGTCTAGAGAAGACTGGCCATGACGCGGACACATGTACAATATGTCTTGGGTTTTCCCCCCGGGCCCAAAAGCGGAGGGCGGTGGACACGCTATTCTATAAAGAAATGCGAGAGGCGGGTGGGGAACTGACGCAGGTTCCCCCGTCTAAGTCTAAGCGTAAGGGAAAAAAATTCCGAGGCCAAACCCCCTCTCCCGCTAGTACTGGTGGTTTTGATATGACACTAATGGACAAATTGTTTCAGCAGCATATGGACTCTGTGAAGTCCCTCGTTCGTGAGTCTGTTGGAGGTCTCCGCCAGGAGTTCCTCGCTCACTCCGGACGGGGGGCGGAGAGTCAGGGGGTGGGATCGCCGGGCTCGGCTCGATCCCTCAGCCTTGAGCCATCTGTAGACCCGTTGCCTCTGGCTTCGGGTCTGGGCGCCTCTCGGCTGCCCCGGAGGGGGAGGTGCTCCCAGTCCCCCTCTCGGAGTTGGCGCAGGGACCGTTGAGTATTCCTGGTGTTCCGGTCCCTGCGCCCTCCCGCCCCATGAGAGCGGAGGCACCAGTTCTGCCTGGCCTGCCTCCAGCGTCTCGGGACCGACGTGGAGCAGTCTGTCTGCTCTTCCCTTTCTGTGCTTCCTAGCGTTAGGCAGCCCACCGGGTCGGGGTTAGGGTCCTCTTTCGGAGGAGACCCAGCCTCTGACTCGGGCTCGGGCGCCAAGGCGATGGAGCTTGGGGAGGTTGAGGAGCATGACGGAGGCTTCCGTTTTGCTTCGGCTCTGCGGGAGGTCCGGCAAAGAATTGCCGAGGGCCTACCCCAAGCCGCGGTGCCTGTGGGTTGCGTGGACTCGGCTGAGTTCCGCTTGCCTGGCGAGGCGTTTGCCCCTCGGCAACCCTCGCAGATGCAGCTCCGCATTTTGCCTTCGTTGGTCTCGGACGTGGTTGATCCCCTCTTGTCTGGTGCCCGAGTCCGGTTCGACTTGCCGGATCTCGTGCGGCGCTACCAGCTTAGGGAGGACTCCCTGTTCGTAGTTCCCATCGTTGACGAGTGCGTGTTCACTTCCGTGCGCCCTGGGGAGGCTCGGCTTCCTCGGAGCAGCTCCGGCTGCTTGGCAAGGCGCCTCACTCCACCTTTTGCCCTCGCGGGC